TTGGGCAAATACTTAGCAGCCTGGCCTAGGACTAGTTTAGACTCATAACTAACACGATATCTTTTTAAGGTCTTATGTATTATCTGATGCCCTAAGTATTACAAGGTCTTTTCACTCTGGCCAGTGGAAATACAAACTATTCCCAGCCTTACGTATGCACCCCCCCCCCCCAAGTTTTGACCTATTGCTTTTTGGTATTTTTTTTTCTCCAGGCTTGAGTAAATTTTCTTCACCATACAAAGATCCATATTCAGCCAAAGACTAAAGAGAACCCTTCTACAGAGATTTTGCTCGATATCTCCTTTCCTTCCAGAAATCCTGTCCTGCAGATGCTAATCAGCTTGGCCTCGGCCTCCTCAAACTGATTTTTGTCTCCTCAACTCAGTAAGACTGCCAGGGTCTATTTGGACACGTGCTACTTCCTGCAACCTGCCATTTGGCAGTAAGTTGGCATGATTATAGTTACCTCATTTTCTTCCCTTCTGTCAGGGATCACTATAAGGCTTGTTCAAATCTGAAAGCCATTGTTTCATATATTTTGTCTGATCGTTTCTACTTGTTTTATATGTAAGGGTAAACCTGGTAACTGTTATTCCATTATGGCCAGATGAATGACATATTTTTAACACTGAAAATAAAAATCCATTACTGAAGCAAAGTAAATCCTGCTTCACTCACATTCATGAGAATTAAGCTCAGCTTCCAAATAACTGGTAGTCTCAACTTGTTTAGGATTGGCATAATCAAGATGGCCCCATGAGACCTCCCTTACATGTATTCTCCCCTCAACAACAACAATTTGGCATTTATCCATGGACAAAAGTACTTGTGGGAAATTTGAGACGTAGGTAGGAGATTCTGAAACCGTAGTGCAATCCGAAGCTGAGGAGAGCCATTTTGAGAAGGCGGGCTCACAATCAGGTGGCTGAATTGCCAACGGTGGGCCCAGCTGCAGATGTAGAAACAGGCTTCAAACCTGTGAGGGTTCAGTGACAGTCCCCTTTGGTTTTGGGTCTGTCACCAGCACTATACAGTAAGGGACCCAGGAGGAGTCACTCTAACCCATGTTTTGGGTAATAGTTTTAGCTGTGGGCCCCGATGGGCCCGTGAACTAGCTCTAGCCCCGGTGGGCTGTCATCCAGGAGTCCCTGGAGGCAAAGCCCACCATATCTGGTTAGACTAGGTTCTGAAAGGGCCCCGTAACTGGTCTCCAGCCCATCCAGTTTTGCCGCCACAGGGACCCTGCAAGACATACTCCCATCTGTACCCCTGGAGGTCCTGAAGGGGCCCTATACTATGCATCACCTCTCTCCTACCTGTATCACATGGAGCTGGCAAGGAACCGGGCAGGATACATTCCAATCTGGGCCCCCAGAGATCCTAAAAGGGCCCTAAATGCAGCCGTCTTTTTAATAAATAGTGTTGGAAAAAGTATATATTCACATGTAAAAATTTATATATCCACATATATAAATTGGGGGGTGTCTGGATGGCTCAGTTGGTTAAGCATCTTACTCTTGATTTCAGTTCAGGTCATGATCTTGTGGTTCATGAGATCAAGCCCTGCATTGGGCTCCACGCCTGATGCAGTGGACATTGCAGAGCCTGCTTGGAATTCTCTACCTCCTTCCCCCTCATACCCTCCCATGTTCTCTCTCTCTCAAAATAAAGAAACAAAGAAAAAAAAATTAATGAAATTGGACCCCTGTTTTACACCACTTATAAAACTAACTTGAAATGCATTAGAAACTTAAGTGTGAGATGTGAAACCATTAAAGTCCTGGATAAAAATAAAACAATGTCCTTGACATTGATCTTGGCAATGAAATTTTAGATATGACACCAAAAGCACAAGTAACAAAAGCAAAGACAAAGTGGGAGTACATGAAACTAAAAAACCTCTATATAACAAAAGAAACAACCATCAGAAAGAAGAAGCAACCTATGGAATGGGAAAAATATTTGCAAACCATATATCAGATAAGGGGTTAACATCCAACATACATAAGGAACTCATACAGCTCAATAGTAAAAATAATAATTCAAATAAAGAATGGGAAAAGGGCCTGAATAGACATTTTTTCCAAAAAAAAAAAAAAAATCCTACAGATGACCAACAGACACATGAAAAGATCCTCAACATCACTCATCATCAGGGAAATGCAAATGAAAGCCACAATGAGGTATCACTTCACACGTGTTAGAATCGTATTTTCCAAAAGACAAGAGACAAGTATTGATGAGGATGTGGAGAAAAAACCCCTAGTAAACTATTGGTGGGAATGCAAATTGGTACAACCAGTATGGAAAACCGTATGGAATTTCCTTAGTAAATTTCAAATAGAGCTACCAGATGATTCAGCAATCCCACTTCTGGGTATATATCAGAAGGCAATGAAATTACTATCTCAAGAAGATGGTTATACCCTCATGTTCATTACAGCATTATTTACAATCACCAAGAAGTGGAAACAACTTAAGTGTTCATCAGTGGATAAGTAGATGTCTTAAAAAGTGAGATAGGTACATATATACACACACCTAAATATTATGCAGCCAGGAAAAAAGAAAGAAATCCCGTCCCTTGTGACAACATGGAAAGACTTTGAGAGTATTAGAGTAAATGAAATAAATCAGTTAGAGAAAGGCATTTACTATATGATCTCACGTATATGTAGACACTAAAAAAAGTCACAGAAACAGATTGTAGAATGCTGGTTCCCAGAGATGGGGTGGGGGAGACGGGGAGATGTTGGTCGAAGTCTCCAACTTTCCAGTTATGAGTAAGATCTGATATTCAGTATGGTGACTATAGTTAACAATACTGTGTTATATACTTGAAAGTTGCTAAGAGAGTAAATCTTGAATACTCTCACCATGAAAACAAAAAGGCAATTATGTGAGGTGATCAATATGTTAATGAACCTTATTGTGGTAATCATTTCACAATATATACATGTGTCAAATCATCACATTGTATTCCTTAAATTTACACAATGTTATATGTCAATTATATTTCAGTAAAGCTGAAAAAATGGGCATTGGGTTCCAACCATAAACAGCAAATTTTCCTTCAAATTCCATTTTAGAACAAACAGTTGTATAGTATCAGAGCATAGTAATATCCAAACCAAAAAAATTATTCTTTATTTTGATCACCCAAATAGGAGCTACTTTAACATGTTAACAGGCTCAATTTAAAAATATCATGGCTTTAGAGCATGGATAGGCAAATAGACCAATTTAAAATAAGTTGTCCAAAAATAAACATGTATGTATGCATGTTACACATAGCATTTCAAACCTATGGGGAAAATTTATTTATGGCGTTTTTTTCTCCCTCAGAATCTCCCAATAAGTTGCTAGCTCAGGACAACTTTACTCTGATTAAATTTGGCCCAATGAACTGGCCATTTTCTTATCACCTTCAAGGTGGGCACAGGCTGGCTTAATAAGAATTCTTGGTTGGTGCTACGCTTAGAACCCAAAATGTTGTGTTTGTCTATGTATTTGTACATATCACACATGTTATTTGAGAGGGAGATCCTGGATTCTTGGTTCCTTCCCTCAGTGCTGTGAGGCATCTGAATACGCATACAATATTTAGAAATAAAGTTTTTTGAATCTTGACAGAAAAGAAAAACAACTACAAACAGCAAAGGTTGGTAGTGGTAGCATGATGATAACAACCCACTATTAGTCAAGAACACACAGGTTTCCATCATCAAACTATCCTGTTAAAAAACCCAACTTATTTATAACCTTAATTTGTGGGGAAGCCTGAGGCAGGAGAGGAATAACTAATTTATACTTGTGCAATCTCATGTTCTAGTATAATTACCAGTTGGGACGTATGCCAGTGGTTCTTTGAATTTAACAGGTCTGGATTTGTATGTGTTTGTCCAGGGAAGTTGCTGGTGTTGTTGACTGTGAATTTCACTTCCTTAGCGTTTGACCCCAAACAGGCCCCCGGGTATTTCACCCTATCTCCTTAGGAGCTTGCTCTTTATCAGAACTGACTGAGGTTCATCTGCAAGCATAGGTTTGAAGAGGTGAAAGAAGTTGTGATTCTAGGAGATGCAACATTTAGAAGAGAATTTTACCTTGCTTTCCTTCTCCATACCCTGCCTAGATGGACATTACCGCAAATGAATCACAGCTAGTCTACCTACTTGGTCCTTTCATGTGTAGTTCCCTAAATTTGCAGTTTTATGAATTTTTGACATTTCTTCTTACTTCCAAATGCCTTATTTTTTCTTTCTTTTAATCCCTTCCCTCTACGCTCCTTTCCCCTTTTTTCCTGAAGAATGATATATACGTATCTCTCAACGGCTTTTAATGACTACCCTCACCATCACGTTTCATGTCTCCATATTTTCAGTTCCATTCTATTCTTTTTGGCTAGAATATTTTCACCATCTCTTTCTTGGATTGCTAGTATGTATTCTTCAGTGTTTAGTGAAGACACTATCAAATGGACTAAATTGTGTCAAGTTATATGCCCAGCTTCTATATAAATATTTCCTAATGAAGGAATGAGATCATAAATGAAGCAAGTCTTCCCTAAATTTTCTCCTTCCTTTGTCTTCATCCCCATAGCTCCAGAATATGAGGTAAATGTCATTTTACTAATATACCATAGTGGATAATAGTATGGGTTCTACAGTATTACTGCCTCTTTGGCAGGGTTCAAATCCTGACTCAACCCACTGAAGAGCCGTGCTATTATTTTTTCTCGTGGCTCAAAATCTTCATTCTTGCAATTGTGATCGTTGCAATATCTCTTGTATACGGTATTTGAGGATTTGATAATACATAAAGTACCTAAAATAACATCTAAGCATCCTAAAAAACCAGCTTTATTATGAACAGGAGCTTATTTTTCATATCACATTCACTGCTTCATCAACTCTGTGATTTGATTGTCTTTTCAAGTGTTTCCTAAAATTACAGACTTTTCATGTTATCACAAGAAAGACTGCTTGGATGTGACAGAATGTGAAAATTATGCTTTTTATTATATCACATAAAATAGTTACACCAAATTGTCCAAATGCATTGGTGAATTAAAGCCTCGAACTCTTACAAATTCTTATACATATACTTATGCATTTATAAATACACACATATGTAAAAGATATATATTTTCTTCTAAAATAAAGTGCCCAAATCTTGATACATGGGGGCGGAAGAGGGAAAAAAAAATCATAAAGTTTTATCAGTTATAGACTGCACTTTCACAATAGAAGAATCTGTTTTATACACACTTATTCAGGTATAGTGAACTTTAATCACTCACTCTTTTCTGAATTCTAAGTGAATTAACTTATCCTAAAAATGAGAAGAAGTCATGTAGCCAATTTAATGAATCAGAGGCTAATTTTTCTTACTGGCTCCCCCAGTGGAAGGTTGGTTCAGCTTCATTCTTAATTTTTCTTTTTTTCTTTTTTTTTTTTTTTCTGGACTACTTTCTTTCTGCTAAGATGATAAGCAGAGAGACAAATGAATCAGACAGCTCTAACCTAACTCCTCCAATAGCATTCAATAAAGTCAGAGTTTAGTGAAAAAACTTCTGAAGTCTTTACATTGCCCAGGGCTTTGTGAGAAATGGCCCAGCAGGATCTGAAGATCAATTCTGCCTCTCTTATATTGAACTCTTACTGAAGCCACAGAAGAGGAATCAGAACAATGATCAATAACTCACTGAGAGAGCCCGCTCAAATTGAAATGGGAACTCTACTACAGTGGAAAACTTTGTGAGAACACGTTTGAATTTAAGAACAAGGGTTAAAGAAAAACTAGATGATGTATGATAATTAAGAAAGTCCTCATTTCAAAAGGGAACCAGGGCTCTATTCCCTGCTCCACTGTCTCAGCTTCTCTTCCTGGGTTTTTACTGGATTTTCTATCACCTTAGACGTTTAAGACGATCATTTGCAGTCTTTGACAGGGAATGGAATTTAAAAATGCCTTTGAAAGCCTCCAAACTATTGAAGCAAGGTGAGGATGCCTAAAAATAGCTCAATATGAACCCAGCCATTTCAGAATCTCTGGTGATTACAGGTTCAAACTGCAATAGAGTGTATCTTATTCAAGCAGGAAAGGGAGACACTGTCAGCACTAATATGGCATAAAACACCCTATGACTTCCAACATGTAGGAAGCCTGGGACAATGGGAAGCCCAGGCATTTCCCAGAGTCAGAACAAGGAACGGAGTGTTTTCTTTTATTTTTTTGGCGGGGGGAAAGAGGGCAAGAAAGTGTTTCCAAGTACCTGGCCCGCCTCAGCAGGGACTTTGCAAGAACAGTGCAGCCTAACTGCTGATTTTAGTGAGCATCTTGTTAATGGCTTGCTTGACATGCGTGGTGGAGCTGCGTCGTCTCGTCTTGCCCTGGACCATCCTCCTGCGGCGCACCTCTCGACACAGCTCATAGAATATCTCGGCGATGTTCCCTTCTCCGGTGCAGGCAGAACACTCATAGAAAGCACATGCCAATTCGGTGGCCAGCTTCTCCCCTTCTTCGGTACTAACCTGTCTGGAGTGGTCCAGGTCAGCTTTGTTTCCGACCAAGATGAGAGTCACATTCTTGGGCTTCTTGACCTCATCCAGGATGTTCTTGAGTGGTAGCACTTCCTCAAAACTTCCTCGGTCAGTAATGTCATAAACCAGCACAAAGCCTTCCCCCCACCGCATGTGTCCTTCCCTCTGGATGGTGTCTTCCTGTTGACAAGAAAGCAATGGCAGTTGGGAGAATTTGAAGTAATCACCATGTATAGATGCGGCTAATGCCAATGGTGATCCCTTAATTACTATTCCATGTCATTAAAATTTCTTGATAGTCTGCCTGAACAAGCTTACCTTCTCAATCAGTTTGGAATAGAAGCATTACTTACTCATAGCAAGCTACGTCGGGGAACTAAAAATGTTCCAAGTGCATAGACCTTTAGCTTTCTGCTTCTAATTTTCTTCTTACCATATCATTAAATCCGTAATTACAAGAACTATAAAGAAATTATCTTAGTTGGGCCACACCGCCCCCAAGGCTTTTCATCACAATTAAAGAATTGGCAAATAGGTAATAGACAAGTAGACATTACCCCACCCTACAGAGGTCAGACTTAGAGGCACAGCTTAGTGAATGGTTTTGATTTTGTTTTTCACTTTAGTCTCTTTTGTCTTCAGATTATAGACAGTTAGGCACCAGAGAGAGAAAAACAGTGAGCAAATGGGTAGTCAAACTCAAAACTAGGAGCTTTGGGCTATTTTTTTCTCTTTCTTTCTATCTTAACACCACAGAAATATTATACAGTCCCAATAATGATGGAAATTCATTTCAAGTGATTTTCTTTCTGTTTTAAAATTTATTTCTGAGAGAGAGGGACAGCGTGAATGGGGGACGGTCAGAGAGAGAGGGAGACACAGAATCTGAAACAGGCTCCAGGCTCTGAGCTGTCAGCACAGAGCCCGATGTGGGGCTTGAACCCAGGAACCGTGAGATCATGACCTGAGCTGAAACTGGACGCTTAACCAACTGAGCCACCCAGGCGCCCCCATTTCAAGTGATCTTCTAATGAGGTGATCACTCCTTCCTAGGAAAGTAGCACGTGTGATTTGAAAATGCATTGCTCTCATGGGCTCATATACCCTTTGCAGGCATGTAATTCCCTGTTGCCTCTTTCTAGAATCAGGGCTGGGTGGAAGGGGAAGCATACATAAAAAGGAAGTGATGGTGAGAAAGGAAAGTGTATAGCTAGTTACAAGAACATTTCTTGGATTAAATAATTTAATTCAAGTCTTCTTTGGGTCATAGGTCACTGACGAAGCACTATGGAATCCATCCGTTTCCTAACTTTCATTCTTAGCGGTCATTCTTATCCTTGGGAACTAAACCTATCCCAAGAACCCATTTGTAATCTCAGAACATACTGACTTCAAAGCAAATCTATATTAGCTTCCTTTTTCATGGATTATTATTGTTCAATTACGTGGCTCAAATTTTCAATAGGATGTGGTTAGGTCTGGAAAGAAAATTACAGGAGAGATTCCCAAAATAAAGTATTCTGAAAAAATATTCGGAGGTTATAAAAGTTTGGAATATGATAGATACTGAAACTCTTAAGGATTCATCTTATACTAAGGCATACTAAAGGTTCTGAGGATTTCTCTAGTAAAAAATACATGCTTAACTCTATCAGAGCATTTCAAAACACTTAACCACAGGGGTGCCTGGGTGGCTCAGTCAGTTGAGCGTCCAACTTCGGCTGAGGTCATGATCTCACGGTTCGTGGGTTCGAGCCCCGAGTCGGGCTCTGTGCTGACAACCAGCTCAGAGCCTGGAGCCTGTTTCAGATTCTGTGTCTCCCTCTGTCTCTGACCCTCCCCTGCTCATGCTCTTTCTCTCTCTCAGAAATAAGTGAAAAAAATTTTTTTAAATTAAAAAAAAAAAACAACAAAAAACCGAAACACTTAACCATGAACCTATTAATATCTTGCCATCCCCCCAAAATATATGCTGGTAATTCTATTCTGGATGATGTCATGCAAATGTTATTTTCAACCCCCCCCACTCCTGAAGGACTAGTTAATTTATATAAGGATGCATACATAATCTGTTGCAAATATGTTCATATGTAACTAGATAATTAAAGGAAAAAGTCTTTAGACATCATTAGTTAATTATAGGAAAATATCTTAATTTTGTTCGTAGTATGCACATACACATACCATTTTTATTTAATACAAAAAGCATTTTGGCGGAACCCTTTATTTACCTGACCAGCAGTATCTAGTATCTCCATGGAGACAACTTCATCATCAATGGTTGCTTGGTGTCGGTAGGTTGATTCTGAAGGAATGAGCGGAAAAAAAATAAAATAAAAAGATAAAAAAGTAACTAAGCGCATGATTTAATTTGATCTTTAGTCACAGAAGTATGTCTGTTTATTTGGCATAAGGAGACGTGCATCCTAGGGAGGAGGGGATGGGTGTGTAAGAATGTGCCATCTCTGTACTCTGAGCTCCTGGAAGTACAGGTTCTCATGTAGGAGCCACAGATTTGCAGGGTGCAGCACGGGAGCATCTCCTTGTCCCTTCACTCATTTTATTCTCCTATGAGCTCAGCTTTCTGATCTCTTCCTCCTAAAATATGGCTCCCACCTCCTGGACTGAGAAAGTGATTCCCACAAAAATGCGTTCTGTCTTGATACTCCTAAAATCCAGTTTCTGGAAATCACTTTTAACGACTGTTCCTGACAAGACGATGTAGAAGCAGGAGCTGTTCGTTTCTTTCAAGACCTCAGCCCCGACAATGTGATAGACATTAGAGGGGGGGGACAGCCATCCATGTAGAAAATGACCATTTAAAGCTATGAGAAACCCTTGTGGCAGTGGAAGGAGGTTGGGCCCCACATTTGGAGGTTGTGAGGAAAGCAGAGGAAGGCTGGGCCATAGGGAGGGAGACACAGAAAGAGTTCTCTTGCTCATGTTACCTCTTCGAGGTAGAAAAATAACAGCTCAGTACCAGCTGAAGGCTCATAGGTTAATCTCAGAGTGGTCCCCAAGTTCTCCTGGGGTGAGGAGAAGTTAGCAGATGTGAGAACTTTGGGTGGTCTGAGTGCACCTTTCACCACATGAAATGGAAAGGAGAGATTAAAATAAATACCAAGTGGTGCTGCTCTGTGTGAAAACTAGAACAGTTGAAATAATGAACTCAACAAATGTCTGACCGAGCTGAAGGTCAGGTGGAGGGACTCTTCCAGAAGATATTACTAAACGGTAAGAAGAAGAAAAATGTAAAAGTAAAATATAAGAGGGATGGGAAATAGATCTAGACATGTCATTATCTCTTTTAAAATGAGCCTCAAAGAGAATACAACACACAGGGGGCTGAGCATAGTTGAGGCTGTACTAACTGAGAACTTCCAAGGAGGAAAGACACAGAACAATTCAGTTCGAAAGGACTAAAGGGCACACAAGAGGGAAAGCCCCACATATAAAACAATTACAGCAAAATTTAGGGATGTCGATGATAGAGAAAACTTTTGAAGGACCTACAGAAAAAAGGCACATCACCTACAAAGGACTTGACTCAGATTGACATTAGACTTCTCACCAGCAAAACTGAATTCAAGGTCCCAATGGAGTAAAACAAAGCAATAAAACCACACTGAAAGCAATTGAGAATTACTATTTTAGATGATGCCAGTGTATCAGGGTGTGAGGGCTGCGGAGAGACAGGAGCCATATTTGAGTGAGCTGATGCATTTGTCTTACTCTTGAAGATGACATCAATAAATAAGAGTAGGCAAAAAGTGAGCCAAGTAGTTGACTCAACAAATCAGAAGAGGAACATAGAATAAATCCAAGAAAATATGAAGAAAGAAATAAAAAAGTGCAGAAGAAAAAATGACACAAGGTTAACAAACCAAAGCATGGGGCATGAAAGTATTAAAAAAGGAGGTGTGGGTAGAGATAAAAAATTGGCAATGCTAGCTAGTACATTGAAAGAGAAGGAGTAATCAAGCAAAATTTAGCATAAAAGAAGAAATAACTACATATTCTGATGAAATGAAAACAATATCGGGAACTATATGCCAACACATTTCAAACCCTGAGAAATTCTTGGGTTAGAAGATGCATGGATGGGTGATGTGAGAACTAGAGCACTTAAGTTGGTCAATAATCAGTAAAAGTTTAGACTTTAATTGTAGCTCTCTTCTAATCATAAAAAGCAAGTGGATCCAATTGGTTTTAAAGGAGATTTCTAGAAATCTCCTTGTTTAATAAGCAAGTTGTTCTAGAAAATAGAAAAAGGGTATCTATCGTATTCCTTTTATGGGGCATATGTTGATTCTAGTAAGTATTACAAAAGTAGTAAGAGAAAAAAGAAAATGAAATTATAGGTTCCTTTCATTCTTGAACATCGATTCATAAATTCTTTTTTTTAAGTTTATATTTTTTTTTTGAGAGAGAGAGAGAGAGAGAGAGAGAGCAAGTAGGGGCACAAGGAGAGAAGGAGAGAGAGAATCCCAAGCAGGCTCCACTCTTATCAGTGCAGAGCCGGACACGGGGCTCAGTCCCATGGATCATGAGATCATGATCAAGCCAAGATGAAGAATTGGATGAGCCACCCAGGTGCCCCTAGATTCATAAATTCTAAATAAAATATTATCCAATTGAATCCAACAGTGTAATAAGAAAAGTACATCACTGATCAGTTAAAGTTTATTTCAGAAAAGCAGAGTGTTTAAAAAATCTATCAATGCAATTTTTTTTCAGTTTTTAGTTAAATTCCAGTTAGTTATACACCTGGTGCTCATCACAAGGACACTCCTTAATCCCCATCACCTATTTCACCCATCCCTCCACCCACTTCCCCTCTGCTAACCAACAGTTTGTTCTCTAGCTAAGTGTCTGTTTCTTGGTTTGCCTCTCTTTCCCTTCCCCCATCAACATTTGTTTTGTTTCTTAAATTCCACATACGGGTGAAATCATGTGGTATCTGTCCTTCCCTGACTGACTTATGTCGCTTAGCATGATACTCTCTATCTCTGTCTACGTTGTTGCAAATGGTAAGATTCCATCCTTTTTTATGTCTGAGTAATATTCCACTGTATATACATACAACCTCTTCTTTATCCATTCATCAGTTGATGGAAATTTGGGCTCTTTCCATAATTTGGATATTGTTTCTTTTTTAAAAAAAATTTAACATTTATTTATTTTTGAGAGAAAGAAAGAGACAGAGAGTGAGCAGAGGAGGGACAGAGAAGGAGGGAAACACAGAACCTGAAGCAGGCTCCAGGTTCTGAGCTGTCAGCCCAGAGCTTGACATGGGACTCGAACTCACAGACCGTGAGACCATGAGCTGAGCTAAAGTTGGATGCCTAACCAACTGAGCCACCCAGGTGCCCCATAATTGGAATATTGTTTCTATCCATGCAATTTAATACATTAAAGCACTAAAGGAAAGAAAATACTAAAGGAAAAAAAATCACGTGATTACCTGTCTAGGAAGATCTATAGCACAAAGAAATTTATGTAAATTTAAAGTATATGGATATACAGAAAAAATACCTTTTTCAAGAAATATGTAATACCTGGTATATACTGCTTACCATTTGAACAAGAATTGTTCTAAATGTTCTACTTATATTAATTCATTTATTGTTCACAAATATCTCTGTAGCGGGTATTACTATTAACTCCATTCTACACAGGACACAATTAATAACTTGTCAAAGGTCACATGGGGTAAGTGGTAAGTGGTAGTTTGGCACTGGAGCTCAGGAAGACTGCCTTTGGAATTTGACTTCTACCGCTATGCTAAGTATCAAACATATTCGATTATACACCTAAGGGAAAGAGGAGGGCAACAGTGTCAGAATGGTGAATGCAGGAAAAATAAAGTGAAATTCAAGTATAAATAATATATATAATAACCAAAATATAATAATATCTAATAGAAATGATGCAATAATGTAAACTAATATAAGTAATGTAAAGGCTTCAGAAGCAAATGGATAGAATAGTATGATTAACTTAACTCTTTACATCTAAGCTACCCAAATCACCAACCAACCCACTAACCTACCAAAAAAACTTGCAAGTTTCTCTCTCATCAGGGTAGCCAGTGAGCCAGTCCTTTTATTTATTTGTTCCTATCTCATTTTTCTGACTTTCATTTCTTCATCTCATCGACTATTTCTTTTTTGACCAGAGTTTTTTGTTATTTTGCTGCCAATATAATGCCCTACCTGAGAATGCAAACTTCAGAAAAGAGGCTTAACTAAGTCACAGAACGTAGCCTTCTACCTGCCATCAGCCCTGTGGCATGATCATTGCCACAGGCGTGGCATGTGACTGCAGTCTTTTCTGAGCAGTACAATGTGCATCTTTTAAAAGACAGAGCACGAGCAGAGGAGAGGCAGACAGAGAAAGGAGACACAGAATCCGAAGCAGGCTCCAGACTCTGAGCTGTCAGCGTGGAGCCTGGCGCAGGGCTCGAACTCACAGGCCCGAGATCATGGCCTGAGTCAAAGTCGGACGTTCTATAGACAGCCACCCAGGCACCCCTAAATAGTAAAATTTAAAAGCGAGGTTATGTTTGGGTCACCTGGGTGGCTCAGTCTGTTGGGCACCAGAGTCTTGATTTCAGCTCAGGTCATGATCTCATGGTTGTGAGATCAAGCCCTGAGTGTTGAGTGTGGAGCCTGTTTCAGGTTCTGTGTCTCTCTGCCCCGCCCCCGCTCAAGTGCTCTCTTTCTCAAAACATGTGAGGTTACAGTCAACATATTTTAATAAGCGTATTTTGCAGCATTGTCATTCTCTTAGAATAGGTAACCCATACATGGTATGTACAATTAGTCTCAATTCTAGAACATTTCATCCCTCTGTTCTTTACGTTAAATGGGAGATTATTCTTTTGTATAGTTTAATGCTCTAAAATACCGCTTATAGGAGCACCTGGGCGGCTCATTCAGTTAAGCGGCAGTCTTCGGCTCAGGTGATGATCTCGTGGTTCACGAGTTCGAGTCCCACGTCGGGTTCTGTGCTGACAGCTCAGAGCCTGGAGCCTGCTTTGGATTCTCTGTCTCCCTCTCTCTCTGCCCCTCCCCTGCGTTCCCTCTCTCTCTCTCTTTCTCAAAAATAAACATTTAAAAATTAAAAAAAGAAGAAGAAACGAAACAAAATACCATTTACAGCAACTCCTCATGTATAAACATTCTCTCAGGGATTTCCTTTTGCATCTTCCGTGCTCCGGCTTGAGGAAGAGAGGCCCAGACAGCAGCATGCGTGCTGGGGTCTATGCCCTTTCTGTTTCTCCTGCTACTCTTCTGTGGTGGC